AGCAGCAGTGTCCATGTGAGGCTGCCCCAGCCGTGCCCTCTCTGGTGCGGAGGCACTGCCATCCCATTGACGCTGTTTGCTGCTGGGTCTCACCACTCACCTGAACTGGGAGGAGCCGTATTTCTGGAAAACACAAGAGAAAGAGTCGGTGGTGGGAGACTGACAGAATCAGTCGGTCTCTGCACCTCCTCTGCGTGGTCACAGCTCCACACATCTGTGCGCTGGGCTGGGGAGGCCAGGGCTTTTTTCCCCTGGGAGAGCTAAGGACATTGCCCCTTCGGGAGGGCAGGTCTCTCCCATCGGACGAAGCCCTGGCTGGACAGAGGGCACCTGCATCTCACTTCTCGTGGTGCCACAGCTACGCTTGGAGAGAGTTCCCACTGCCCACGGCAGGGCTCAGGGCTGTTGAGCAGTGGGCTGAGGGCTGGAGAGCCTGGTTGACTGTCGCTGCCTTCACTAGTGAGTGCACTCACCCGGATAAAATCAAGCTGGCTTTCGTTGCTGAGTGCCTCCAGAGAGGTCTGCATCTCCTTAAGCCTCTGCAGGGCGTCTGACGTCTGCTTGACCTGGGACTCAATGGAGGTGATGAGCTGGGCTGCCTTCCCCTCGATGCTCTCCAGGAAGGTGGCCTTCTCCTCGTCGATGTACCTGTGCAGCTCCTGGAATTCCTTCCGGATCACCCACTTGAAGACATCCGCCTCGTTCTGCCGGGAGACAGCAGGCGGCTGCACGGGGCTGCCTTGCTCCATCTCCTTCACCCTCTTTTTTGGTTTCAGAGATGCCACCAGCAATGTATCCATGTCCTGCCAAGCCGCCCTCCACTGGCTTTACAAATAAAGAGCAGCTCTTCACGGCAGGCTAGATGATGTTTCATCCCGCTGTCCTCACCACCACGGCACCCCTGCTTTACACCTCTCCTTCCCCAGATTTTGTTTTCCTGATGTCCCAAGCAGCTTCATCAGAGCCTCAAAAGAGCTCTTGGATCCCTCCGCTCCCAGGGAACCACCTGTGTCCCAGGCTAAGGGGTACAGAAGAGTGCAGCTCCACTTTCATTTGGGCTAAGCCCTTCTGAGGAGCCCCACTGGGAAGTTTTGGGCTCAGAAGGGATGCCAGGAGGTCCCTTGGAGATGCCTGCTGCATGGGAAACGGGCACACAGCTAAACCAGGCATAAATTCAATGTGAAACCAACGGCGTTCCTCTGACTGGAAAGCCTGCTCCGAGTGGGGTCCCTTGCACCTGTTATCTCCCCATCTCCAAGGACATTCGGCCAAACCAGCTCTGAGTGGTGCTCCTGCCGGGACGCTTGGCGAGGGTTACGTCACCCCTTCCTAAAACAGGGCTGTGCCACCAGAGAGGGTTATGTTGCCCTTCCCGAAAGCAGTTCTATGTTTAATCCTCGAGTTTTGTGGGGAACACGAACCTCAGGGAACAGAGTGGAAGATAAGCCCTGTCTGCTATCCCAGGGAAAGGGGAAGAGAAGGAGACGAGTAGAGGAGGTGAGCTGCGGAGACCCAGGAGCAGAGGTTGCTCCAGGGGCTGTGTGGGACACAAAGGACTCAGGGACACAGGCCCCCTCGGCACATGGCACTCACTGCGATGCGGCTTTTGTTGTTGATGAGCTTGCTGAAGTGTTCATCCAGGTTCCTCTTGTACTGGTGGACATCGGTCAGCAGCACAGACAGCTCCTCCTGAAAAGACAGCACCTCCATAGGAGGGACGCTGGGGCAGCCTCCTTCTCCACAGGCAGTGCTTGCCAGCCCCTGAGGAGCACATGGCCCTCGGAAGCCATGTTCTCCTAAGCTTTCTCTAAGCTTCCTGGGGCCCTGCACATCCTGCTGATCTTCACTCTTTTAATCTAGAGGATTTGGGGTTGCCAGAGGCAGGAGAGCGCTCAGAGCACGGCCCCGATCTGGATGCTGCTGACCAAGTACTCCTGCCAGGAGCACCACGTCTCCACTCCCATTCCCGACCCTCCGTATCTCATACCCCTTGGCTGCTCCACACCGGGTGAGCGGGTGCCAAGCGGCTGCAAACCAGCACCAGGCTGGTGGTACCTTCCCACCGCCGGTGCTGGGAGCTTGGCTGGGGCAGGAGCGTTTCCAGTGCCTCCTGCTCTTATCTCCCCGGTGTCAGGAGTGAAGGGGACGGGTGGCCCTGTGCTTTTCCATTCCTGGGGCTTTCATGTGATGCTGGGCAGGGGACGCCAGCTGTTTGCTCTGCCTGGCTGGGGCTCCTGTTTCCCTGCCTCCCTGCTCTCCTGTGGCACCTCACCTCAGCCCTTATCTCCAGACTCTTTTTGATGGTATTTGGAAACGGTCTTGAAAGGCCCCGACGCCACTTGCTGACTCCCGGCTCTCTCCACCACGGTTCAGCCACCAAAACCCTGAGCCCTCTCAGCTGGGGATGTGCTCAGCCCGAGAAACAGCTGCCCCACAGCCCGGGGACCCTGCCCCACATCTGGCTGCGCTGGGGGCATGTGCTCCCCACGCTAGCATCATTTCCAGCCTGTCCCTTGAAGGAGAGGGGACATTTGGCCAGCAAGCACTGCAGGTTCCCTAACACCCACCCCAGGAGCCCTGTCCAGCCCCCTGCCAACCTTCATCCGACAGTACGCGGTAGAGATGGGGGTGATCTTGTGCTGGCGGTGGTTGCCGATGGTGCCGCACAGTCCGCAGATCACCTCTTGGTCGGCCTCACAGAAGAGGCTGATGGGGTTGTGGTGCGTTGGGCAGGACTCTGGGGTGGGCTCTGCCTCGACCCGGCTCTGCAGCGCCTCGATGACGCGGGCCAGCGTGACGTTGGGTGGCGAGGCGCTGCAGTCCACTGTTTGGCGGCACACGGGGCACAGGAACTGCCCGTCCAGCTCTCCGGAGAGTGACACCACGCAGGACTTGCAGTACGAGTGCCCACACTGCAGCATCAGGGGCTCCTTGAAGACCTCCAAGCAGATGGGACAGAGGAGCTGGTCCTCCAGCTCGTCGATGCTCATCTTGCGAGCCATCCTGCCACGTTCCCATACAGATCCGGCCAGGGAAATGGGTGGGAGATCAGTCCTGTTCCAAGAGCAAGATAAGCAGAGACGAGTAAAGACAGAGCTCAGCACCGGGGGAAGGCGAAAGAGACACCTCCACCCCCCGGCAGCAGTGCAGGCAGTTGCAAACTCATTGTTAGGCTCCATGCAAAGTCTGAGATACTTGTTTTAACCCATGATAGGCTCTGGAGATGTGACACCACACCTGGCCATGCCTGCTGGATCTGCCTGAGGTTTCAGAAGTCACCACCAAGCTGTTCCCACCTGGGGCCTTTGCCTGGTAGGGGTGTCAGACTGCAGCCCAGCTCGGGACCGACCTGCCTCTGTGTCAGCACAGGACACAGAGCCAAGAGGGGTTTTCTGCTGAAACATTCCAGTATTGACCCTGGCCTGTCTGAATTCCTACAGATCTCTTTGGGCTCATTGTCTCAGTCATGGACATCCTCAGAAAGACTGGCATTAGCTCAAGTGATGCATCTAAGCAAAAGCAGAAGGAAACCATAAAGAGCAAATTTATGTAGGAGACAGGGACAACCACCACGCAGCAAACACCTGTGAGGCTGGCCTCAACTGATACGAGGGCTGGGAAGCTGAGGCACAGCGTGCAGGGCTGCGGCTGCAGCTCACCCTTTGAAACGCACTGCAGTCTCTGGCCCCCACAGCAGTCCCCACTCCAGGCCAGCACCCCCAAGAGACACGAGCCCAAATCTCTGCCTCTCCTGTGGCCCTGGGGCTGCACATGGCCACCCTATTGAGCTGTAAGGTTCGTGCAGCATCACCTCTGCCCCTGTTCCCAGCGCTGTGGGATGTAACTGCCGAGATCCTGGGCAAGTCAAAGATATGACCTGAAGTCAAAGAAAATAAACCTGAAGTCAGAGACCTGGTGATTTCCCCGTGGACGGGACAGGCTGTGACCTGAGCTCAATGTTTATCATACATTGCCATAGAAGCTCGGCAAATCAAGGGTTGAACGTCAGTCTGTGACCCATCAGACACCATAGGACCCCGTACGGGGGAACTGGCGTCAGCTGCTCGCTCTGCTCACACAGAAACACCTCCCGGAGACCCGAATGACAGCTTCCCGCTCGCCACACCACTCACGTGCCCTGCACTGCTTCCTCCTGGCCCGGGCTCAGGCTCTGCTCGTCCTGGCGCACTGAGCCTGACGGATGTCACTCGGCTGCTCCCGATCAAGCTGAAGATTTTGACCCCGTGGGAGGGCGGACGAGGCAGGCAGCGGGACTGGCAGCCCCTCGGCTTGCAGGGGAGAGGCCAGGCAGCCTCTCGTCCCCCTCTCCTGCTCTGAAGGCGGTGACACACCTCCTCAAAGGGCTGCCCGCCACCCGCCGTGCGGGTTCGGGCACACACATCATATGACTGTGTGGGCAGGAGCCTTGATAAGAGCTGGCCGGTGTTTGCCTCCCTGAGCGGCCAGCCTCCCTGCGTCCCGCTGGGGTTTCACCCATCCGCACTGCTCGTGTCAGCAGAAACATCTTCACCAAAAGACCAGAAGGAAACCCAAAGCGTCGCTCCTCCAGTGTGGGGCAAGGCACGCGCCTGTTTGACTGTGTAAAAAA